TCGGTAATATACCATGGTCGGTACTGTACCATGATTGGTAATATACCGTCATCATTTGCGACATATTTGTTACTAAAGGTATTGTAATAGCGCACTAATTAAGCGATTAAAACCGTATATACGATTATTAGCATGTTGTTCACGCATGCGAAGCGTTACAGCGGATCAATGTATCAATACCGATGTAAGTACTTTATCTAGATAACTATAATATTCTTCTAATATTCCTTTTTATATTAATATTAATATATTAGTAATTTCTTAATAGTTTTTTTGTTATTTTTTTAAATGTTTTTAAATATTTTTTTTTACAACAAACCTTGCGCATAAAGACCACGGTCGCTGGCCTTACCGAGCGAACGGTTGCGGCAAAGATAAGGCACGCGCAGAAATAAGCCACGCCTCGCGACCGCAAAAACCGAGCGAAACCGTTGACCGGCAGGACCGTTAAACGACGGACTCGTAAGACAATGCAGCATCAGCACTTCTTGTAGACTATAAAAACGGCCGGAGCAACCGGCAACAGAATCATTCAGATTCAGAATCTCAGTCAGTAAAGTGCGCTCTAGTTAGACTAAAATATTTCTGCTATACGGACTTAGAATACTTGTGTCATTACAAAACGGGACTAAGAATATTTATGTCATTACGAATCGGGACTTAAAATATTTTTGGATTTAAATTATTTTACGACGTTTGGACTTAGATGTAACCTATTATGGTAAGAATTTTGTAGTATTAATAAGTTTCCTTACTTTAAGAATGAGTGTTTTGTTTTATAAATATATACATACATTAATACATAAATATATGTATACGCACTTATCGTTTTGTTTCTTATTCCAAATAAATTATTGAGGTATTTGTCACGTCCGTAAACGTAAACATGTTGAACCCCGGGTGATCCGGTTTACCTTTTTCTTTTTTTTTCTTTTCTCTCTTATTATCTTATTTTATTACCATGTATTGTCAGTAGTATCTCCCATTGTCAAGCGTCCGCAAAAACGTTAAACTACGGTCCGAACCACTGTGTCATCACCTAAACTTACGAATTTAATACTCCGAGTTGCGGTTTTGTACTTACCAATTTTGCAAGTGACATTCTCACTGTTGGTTTGCATTCATTATGTTCATATAACTGCTTTTAACGTATACTACACGTTTTGTTAACCTACGAGTAAAATTTACCTGTTTTACCCTATGACAAAATCTGATTAATCGTCTTCCTAGTAACAAGCAATCTGATTAGTCAGTCACTTTATCGTGGATTCCGACTCGTCAAATCCTTGTAAGTCATCTCCCATAATTTTTTTCCTGAAAAAACAGTCGAAAGGCCGATACGAGCAGTAAAATACAGGTTGGTCGTGTATAAAAAGTTGTCTTTATTCGATAAATAGACGTTTCGGTCACACAATTTTGGACCTTCTTCAGTATTAAATAATTAAGTCTAACAAGAAAAAATAAAAGAAATAACAATAAATAAAATAAACGCAACACAAACATCTTAATAAATTGAAAATAATATAAAAAACTCACTTAATTGAGAAGTAACATTGTAATACACAACATCACTAACAAATAGATGTCAAAATAATACAATAATATAATGTGTACTAGCGAGAAAACATAAAACAGTGAAATATATATATGCTCATATCGGCCTTTCGACTGATTTTTGACTATTTCACGAGCGATTGATTGGTTTTTTCCTGAAAATCGGCCGAGAAGTTGGTTAAATACCCGTAAAATCATTTGATTGGTCAATGCAGTTTTTTGTCAATTCTAAGTCTCCAGACTTTTACAAGTCGCGACAACTGTTGCCTTCTTCAAAATTCGTTCAGGAAGTCGGTCAAAATCAGTAAAAACATCTGATTGGCTGATTGTCTGGTGACAAACAATCTGATTGGCTGAAATGCAAAAACTTGCCGTACTAATTGGCAAAGCACGTAGCAACTACGCCAAGTTAGCCTTCTCTCAAAATTCATGTTTTAAACCATTGAAAGGGGTAAAAGAAATCTTATTAATTACCCAGTTCACTAAAAAGCGTTTAATTGGTCAATAATTTTGTTGCACTTTCTGGACTCTCTGGACGCCTGCAAGTAGGGTCCACTAACTCTTTCTCGAAAGTACGTTCAGAAACATGATTAAAAGATCGACAAACGATCTGATTGGTCAGTAGCTTTATTCCGTCTTTTAGCTCCTTAAACGCGTGTGACTACTACCCGGTAAGTCTCGTTCAAAAATCACTTCAAAAATCCGGTTAGAAATTAAAAGGTGTTCTGATTGGTCCAAAGAGTTTTCTTTGAAAACACTGCTTTTAGACTTTGCGCTTCTAGACCATAGCATACAGACTTCAAATAAATGCGATTACAGTAAAATAAGCCGTAAGACACAAAGGTAAGAGATAACTCATGCCGGTAACGGATTCTACTAATACCTACCGTTTCTTTCAACTACCAGAGTTGGTAATAGTACCAGTACCATCATTTTAACATACTTAAAAATTTGCCACGGTCGGTAAATTAACAATTGCCAAAAACCAAGTTTCCGAGTAATTTAGCAACCCGCATTAGTTATCATCATATTTCTGTTACCTTTAGTCATAAATTAAGTAACTCAGATCAGAACTAGGCGGCAACCCGTAAGTTGCAAAATTAGTATTTCAAAAACTAAAAAAGATACAAAAAACGGTTTGCACTATCGTCTTTAGCGTAAAAAACTGAACAATACCAGTGTGTTTTGTCTAACTATTGTTGTTAACCAACGATTGTTTGGTAGTTTGCATCTAAGTAATAGAATGAAGGATCAGAAAACCGTTTTTCGATAACTCTTCTGGTTCGCGAGATATTTAAATTGTGTATTTTCACTCATCGCCATAATTTACAAACCAGTAAATGAAAGGCCTCTGTAAAATTAGGTTTGCCCTAGCTGTCTTAGTTCTCGAGATATCCTAAATTTACATTATCAACTATGTGTCATTAAACACAGCATGTGTTAATAAACAAAACGTTTATATTCATCAAAAGTTATTTTGACAAATTCCGGGACTTTTCGAGAACTTTTCAACTCCCCGGTGATAACTACTCTTATTAGTATGGTTATTTATGGTATGAA